GTCTGTTGAAAGGGCGTGGCCTGATGCTATCCCATTGCTGCAGGAGGCACTGGTTTGGCCTCTTTACCAGTTGCTGGGCTCTGAATTTATCTTCCACATTCTTGGGTTTTACGCATGGGATAATGTCATTATAGTAAGTGAAAAGTTCATTATCAGCTGGTAGAAAAGGCTTTTGCTCCATTTTTACTCAAAACATTCGACTCTTTAATTGGCATTAGCTGTTATTTTCAAACAAACCTTACACTGAATTTGGAGCAGGGCGTGTAGTATCATATCTCCAGAAGACAGAAGTTTGTAAAGAGGTGTTTCCCCCTTTCAGCCTGTTTGAACATGGCTGGAAGCCTGCCAAGATACCCTGACAGGACAGTACTGTATGGGAACAGCAGCCTAAAGAATTAAGGCTTTGTTAGCACAGGACTTGCTACTTCAGCTGTGATGCTCTAAGGACAGAGCTGCACTGCACACTCAGCTCCATCCCAGAGACTTTCACACCATAATCTCCTCTGTGACATTTGGCCCTCAGGTTTCATTGCTGGGTGGATTTCTCTCAATTTTCTCTCAATTTCTCTTTTAATTTAAAGGTAAATTGAGAGGTACAAGTTCATACTCTGCACTTTGACTTAGCAATCAGGCGGTGCCACTTTGCTGCTATTTATTTTAGGGGTTCACATGAGTACATGCATCTCCCATGTAGTGAGTTTACGTGAGGCAACTTTGTGTGGGTCGTAAAGTATCTACACTGTGTCTGGTAGAAAAAGCTAAACTTCTTTCACTCCACACAGTGAGTTAAGGTATGGGATAATTTCATTTCTGGTAGTCTTTGGGAAATATTATTTTATCCCACCGTGGGTAAAGAAGGGCCTTCCACTGCTTGCTGTGATTTGATTTTCTAATTTCAGAGACCATACAGCCACTGCCTCAAACAGATACAGTAAATTGAGGGTTGTAAGTGGAATGATGCTCCAACCAAATTTAGGTGGTAGCAAACATAAATTAACATATGACAACGCATCAAACTGAGGGTGGAAGATTACTTCTTTATGCATTTCTAAGGGATTTTTTTGTTAGCTCTATATTCCTTCAAGCTTTAGCAAATGTATTTGCAAGAAAGGAAGCATTTTGTCATAAACTTAATTCCATTTTTTCTGCACTTGGGCAAAACACTCAAATCAAGCTACCCTTTAGTGGATAAATTGAACAGCACCGGGTTGCATGTATCTAATCCTGCCCCCCTGTTTTAATTTTTTTTTTAAATAAAACATGTGGTCCATAGACTTTTGCATAGTGCATCTACATAGTGTAATTTAATGTGCCTTTCTGTGAACTTTCATGCAGAAAATGTCAGTTAGTTACAAACCTAAACCATACAATACGTTGCCCTAACAATTCCATCTTCAGAAAGGTTAGTGTGTGGGTTTTTTTAATAATGTGTGAATTATTGAGATAGCTTATTTGAAAGGTGGTGAAGGAGAGGAAAATCCTGTGCAGATGAAGAAATAAGATTTTTTTTTTTTAAACTGGGGTTTTAGCAATTCAGAGTACTTTGAAAAGATGTTGTATCAGTGACATGAGATAATTAAACAGTATTTTACCTATTAAAAATAAAATTTTCTTGATAGTAATAGGGACTTGCATTCTAACCCTGCTAGTATAAATCATCTCTGTTGTAACTGCTTCATTCTTTTTTAGTTTTTGCACATTTCACTTAATGTTTCTTTGGGTTTTTGGTCTGCTATTACTGGCAGTGCTTCATATAAATCCTGTTTAATCAATCCAGAAACTCATTTTCTTTTTAACATTTTCCAGCTCCCTGTTTCCCTTTGCTTCTCCATAGTGTTAAAAGATTCTCCAAAGGCACCAACATGGGAATGTACAGATTCTTCTTTTCACTAACCATGGATTATACCATTTAATTTTGACATAGGTCATACTAGCAATGTCCATGTTCAGGAGGTTAGCTTGAAAAAAACCCTACAAACAAGATTATCACAGTGCTCTGCAATTGTTATTAATAACTTGAGATGTAAATTGTCACTGGATTCTACACTACGTATAACTGATATTTTTCTATATTTTTCTGTAAAAAGAAAGATGTTTTTTCCCATCTCACTTAGACAAACCCATAGTTTAGGATTGTATTTATCTCTGCTGCAATTTTAGTTGGATTTCACCTTGCATGTGTCAGTTGGCATGTGTACTTTGGTGTTTTGTTGGAGATGGGGGCAGTGGGAATGGGGATTTTTTCTCCTCCACGTGAAGGATTGCCATGCAGCTGTGAGACACTCTTAATTAAGTCAGAGTAAGCTACGTCAGATGGGCTGGTATGTGAGTACACTGTGAAGACAGCTGAGCTGTCAGTGCTTTACTTTTATTAGACTTTTAATATTTCATTCCTTACTGCCCAAGGTGTGACCTGTCAAGCTTCTGAGAGGCTGCCCCTTCCTGATAAAGGTGCAGTACTGAGCCCAGGACTGGGGCACACTTCTGTCCAATTTATGTACAGTCACTTGGTGGGTTTGTGCTCTTCTCTTTCTTGATGTGCTTGTTGTCTGCAAGAACAGAAAATCACTGATCTGTTAATGTTAAAGGGTATTTAGAGTTGTTAAATAGCTCATCAAAAGCCAGCCCACATCCCTTGGCCCTAATCTTTCACGGTGGTTTGACAGCGTCTAGCATTTTTTTCCCTTTTAAAACTTGATTTATTAGTAAAGTTTAAGAGGCAAAAAACCCCAGCTGGATATAGAACAGGGATCCAAAACAGGATGCATTTACCCAAACTGGATTGAGCTGACTTCGTGTCTTTCCATGTCTGAATAGAGAATGTCCTCTTTCCCCTGTCATGATTCTTCCTTTCCCAGCTCCCTGTTCCTCCTTACCTTGTCCCCAGAAGGTCCTCCGAAACGCAGCAAGGCAGGGAGTGCAGGAGAGGGGAAAGGCAGACGGCGGCTTTTGTGAATTCTCAGTGAACTGCTTGTCGCGTCTGGGGGTGCTTCGTGCCATCCTCGGCAGCTCCTTCTCAGGAGTGAGTATCATTAGAGAGTTAATTACCCCATGCAAAGACCCGTCGACACTGAGAGATAAATACATACTACTGTAAGTTTTTCACGTCTAGGGCTTGTTATTAAGTATGTAAACAGCGTTCAAGTTGCATTTTGACAACTGGCTCCCCCTTGGTGTCGATCAGAGCGGTGCGTACCCTGCAGCTGGAGCGCTGAACCAGAGCTGCGCTGCTGCTGTTCGATACAGCTCCTGGGGGACACCGAAATGTTTCAGACACAAAGCTGTTTGATCTCCAGTTCTGTGTTCTCTGACACTGCCTCAGCATAGCCCAATTTCTTGGCTTTCACAAAGCACGGCTCTGTGTTAAAGACCACCTGCAGAAGCCCAAAGCTTGGTGGACCACAAGCCAAAGCAGCCAAAGTGCCTTTTGTCTCTGTAATAAAGTTGCATAAAGCATAAACCTACAAATCATTATATGGAACCACGTAATGAACCTCTTCAATCATTTCTTAAGCAGGGGAAAACCCTCTTGGAAGACAAGGGATGTGAATATTTGTTATAAAATCCGCTGACTGTTATCAGAAGAAATAAAATTGGTCAGATGGAAAGCAAAACTATTGTCCAGTAATAAAGACCCAGATAAAATCTGAAAGGTCTATTTAATCTCTGAAACATCTTATCAACCTTACTTACTTTGCTTTTACAAAGTACATTAAGAAGTACATAAATAATGATTTTTCTGTCTGAATCCTATTAATGGCTCTGTTCTGGGGTGTATAGTCTCTTCACCCTCTCTGTGTTTTGCAGCTCCTTCTGTCCTAAATTATACTATCAGTGCACAGGGACATCAGTGATTCACTATAATTTATAGCAGTGGGAGCTGAAATAGTCCCTGTCCTAAGTTTGCCACATTGTGATGTAGTTTGTGTGGCACCAGGAAAGCACAGCTGAGAAGCAGGACCCATTCTTCAACCCACATACAGTATGGGATGCAACTTCAGCCAAGTGTCCTAAGGGAATTATAAACAAAGAACCCAACTGGAATAATTCTGGATATAAGTAAACCTCTCAGTTCAAACTTAGGAGGGACCGAAGGATAGTGATTTTTGAAATTATTTAGGAGGGTGGAACTGGTTTGTTAAAAAAACAAAAAGTCATGTCTTCAGGTTGTGATCACAGCAAAAATGTCTTTAGGATAAAATTACAGTTAATGTAATTTCCATCTGGTGTTTCCATGAAAATATGAAACTGAAAATAGAAAACCATAGTGCAAGCCCACCTTTCCACTTTTTTTTTCACCAATACCTCTTCAATAAAAATGTGTTTTTAGCTTGATTAACACATTCTTTACATTCTTGTTTAATATGCTGTGTTGTTTTACCTGAAAATAATAAATTAATTAAAAACTAATGTCAAGGTTGTTTTTACATTTTTATGCTGTCAGAGGACAGATTGATGAGACATTTAATTTAATTTAATGAAAAAAAGAAAAAAAGATTTAATTTAAAATAGAACAAAGAATTTCGTGTACGCCAAAGAATTGTTTTACTTTCTTGATATTCTTTTAAAAATTACATTTTCAATTTGACAAGCTAGTTTTTGGTAAGTAACCTGAAAAACATAGTTATTCCCACAATTTTAGTAAAAACCAAAGGGAAAGTGGATTTACTAAATTTTCTTTGTCTGACTGAATGAAAATAGTGCATACATAGTTAACATCAAGTTCAAGCTATATTATTCTCTAATAACCTCTAATCTCTTTCTCAGGCTTTTTAATGATTTCATCAACTGTTTTACAAAATTTGCACTGAAGTGATAGCGCTTCTTTCAAGCAAACTCCACAGTTTGAGCTTTGCAATCGGCATTCACTTTACAGGTTCTGATTATTGTTTTCCTGGTTTGTGAAGCTCTAAGGATTATTGCCCCAGATTCTGGTAAAACAGTAGCCATTACAAACCAATACTGACCCTTTTTTTTTTCCCACCTTCTGCTCTCCCTAGAGCTACGTCTACAATGATCCTGTCAGGTACTACCCGAGGCGAAACCCCAAAGAGCGAGCTCCTCCTTTGGCCCATCCATCAGAACCCCACCAACAGCTCACTGAGAACCTCCGAGGGAGGACCTTCAGCCAGACCCAGGTGGAGAAGTTCTCACCAGAGTCAGAAGTGGGGCTCGACCAAAAATCCCTGATGGCTGCACTGCACACCTACATCACCCAGAACCTGTCAGCACAAAGCAATGACAAAAGCTCTCGCAGCAGGACTAAAGGGTCTCAGGTTTATGCTGATAGATTCTACTCCATGCAAGTCAGTCCTTTTGACGGAAACATTGCCAAAGGAAAAGCAGAGGATTTTAAAATGAAGAAGCTGTTCCAGCCAAGACCTTCTTCTGGAGTGCTGAGGCCAACCCCTGAGATGCTGAGTCATAAATCTGCTTCCCAGGATGATCGCAAGGACCCTCTGAGTTTAGTGGACGGTAAAGTTTATATTTACTTATTTTAGCTTGTCTGAAGTTTCCCTTATGCTCACTGAGCATTTCTGAGAGAAAGAAAACAAAATTAGACGTTTGATATGTCTCCTACTATTGGCACATTTATATCTTCCATAACACAGTAATGATGTTCTCCATTCTAACTACTCTTTCCCTGCAAACATCTACCCACATTCCTCAACCCACCTTCCATATGCATGCAGTAATATATGGCACTCAGTAAGACAGAGCATTTATGTAACTTGTTATATTTTCAAAGCATTTTACAAACAACACGTAATTATGGGTATATCTTTGCTATCAAATCTGTTTTCATGGAGTCATCCCACACCGTGTAAAGGTAATTTGAAATGCCTGGTTTTGTTCCATATCTCTTTATTTAAGTAGAAATTCAAGGACCATGGGTAAAATTTGAAGTTAAGCATAGAAATTAACAGTGAGATGAATTCTGGCACAGAACACAGAGAAGGGAGGAGTCTCTCAGTTCCATGGGTAGGTGGGCACAGATAAGTACAGGACGGTGGGGTTGCATCTAGTTTTGTCTGCACATTCTGTAACAAACAACCCATTTGCTGGATTTTCATCTTTTCTTTTGCAAATGCTGTTTAAAAATGACTGGATCCTGGTTTCTCTTGTAAGTGATAGTTTGACAAATATTTAAAGGAAGATGGGGAGTAACACCCCACAGCATTCTGTGATAAGCTTTAGCACTGCTTTGTAAGATAAATCTTGGGGATCACACAGACTTTATAATTCTGATTAATTTTGTTGTTTCTTTAAATTAATCTAAATATTGATGTTATTCCAGTGGTTCAGAATGCTTGGAAAATGTAAGAATTGATCCTCAGCCATTACCAAGCACTTGCATCTGTTACACTGCAGTCACCACTATCCCAATGCCTTTTGGTGATATGTGTTCCTTTACATCCCTCTTGTAGTTATCCTCCATAAAGTGTAATGTTCTTTGATTTATTTGGTTGTTTGTTAAAAAAAAAAAAAAAAAAAAAAAAAAAAAAAAAAAAAAAAAAAAAAAAAAAAAAAAAAAAAAAAAAAAAAAAAAAAAAAAAAAAAAAAAAAAAAAAAAAAAAAAAAAAAAAAAAAAAAAAGCAAACCCCCAAAACAGAACACACACAAACACACAGAAATGTCAAAATTGCAGCAGAGGAATGATAATACTTGCAATCCAAAGGATGCTTAGAAGTCAAAGCATTCTTGGTATGGTGCCCAGAGATAATAGGTTTCAAGGAACGAACTATAATGTAAAATCAAATCCAGGTGGCACTGTAAGTCTCTTGCACAGGTTAGACAATTTTGTTGCTAGACTCAAAACAAACTAGGCACATGCTGGTTTCATTATCCTCCAGCTGTTCCACTTCACCTTTCCTGGTAGGAGCCAACGGGGAAAAAAATGCTTAACACTTACGGGGAATAACATGTTTCACAATTCATTGGGTTGTACTACTTTGACTTCTCATACATAATATGCCCTGTAGGAACTTCTGCCATCGTGCTTGCTTTAAAGTGTTGCATAGACATAACATTATGAATTGTTTGAGTAGAAAATAATATGGTTTCCTTTGTATTTTTGAGCCACTTAACAGTCTCAGAAAGAAGTGGTGGGGACAGACCCCAGTGTATTCATTGCTTAAAATGCTGTCCACTGGAATTAGGGTGGTTTGGGTTCACATTTCCCAGGCTGAGTGCACCATCTACTTCTGCTTTTAACCTTTCTCCAGCCTCTCTGGTGCTTCAGGGTTCTTGTACACTTGCAGGTTGTTTCTCTCTTGCACTCTGTAAACCACAGAATTGTTAAAAAGCTGGAAAGCATGAGGTGCTCAGTTCTCTGCTGCATATGATACAGGATTAGATAAAGGAACTGGACTGAGAGAACAATCCAGAAGGTACTGAGCAGATTAGTCATGAGCATTGCTGCAAAACAGTGGCAGGTAAATCTGCTAACAAGGCACCCTGAGGGAGAAATAAAAGAGAAGGAAATGTGGAGTTATTTTTCTATCAGATTTGGAAACTGTTACCTCTAGGAGTAGTGTGATGTGCGTGGGTACTGCCTTTGTAGTCGCCGTGCAACTGGGATTGTTAATCTCTCTTTTGCACCAGCTGTATTTAGAATTTGGCTTGGTTTTATGTGGTTTGTTTTAGTCTAGTCATTGTTAGTGTGTTAAATATTATGGAATACGTCTCTCTGTTGCTTTGAAAAGGTCAAAAAATTAGTAATTCAGATGTTTTTTAAAAAATAGCAAACTTCCACGTTTATGGAAGAAAGATGTTTTTGTACATCCTCTGCCTTGCAAAGCTGGGATCACCATTCCAAATGGCACTCAGCTGCTGAACACAGCTAACACATGGTCAGGTTGAAGAAGAAAGACCACCCTGTGGGACTTCTACCAAATTTACTGCTGCCAAACCATGTGGTGGTCCAGCTAGCTGGCTTTGGTACTTGTGCCAGTGGAGTAAGAGGCATGATTTACTTGTTGTACAATAAAAAGCTGTTTTCCCTTGATAAGGTGTTAATGTTACCTACTAGGGAATTATACCGGTGAAGCTCATATTAAAAATTACATCACCTAGGATATAATTGCCTTTACCTACACCACAGTTCCAAGGCAACTATGAAAGGCAACTTGCCTTCTTCACAAACCCTGTGAAATGTGGCTGAGCATTGCTGAGTCCCTTTAGAAGGGGTCAGTTGGAGAGTATAAAGCTGTGCACAAGTACGTGCATGTTCAAGCACATTTGCTGCTTGAGTGCTGTGCCACTGCAGTATCCATCTGCTTTTTGGTCTTGGATTTTAATACATTCATCATATTACTCAAAGGTGTTTGTAAACAGATACACTGATATTTATTTGTGTATCATACTTATCCAGTAATTTGCTATTTATTGCAAACATGAACAAGTGCCATTGCAAGAAGTGGAAACATCTGTATTTAACATGGGCATGGATTTACATCATATCAGTAACCTCGTGAAGTTATCAAGACTCTGCATGTAGACCTTAATTTCACCAGGCTCTTACACTTTTGTGACTGTCCCTCCTAGTGTAACTAAAAACATGAAGTTCCTCATACTTACTGGCTTTGGTTATTGCCTTTGGTCCTAAATGATATGTTTAATATAATTATATGCCAAAAGTAGTGTATAATGCCAAAGTTTTACTCATGTCAACACAAGCATTTAGGAGTTCATTTGATGAACTGTGCCCAGGTGGCAATGGCCAGGGCAGAAACACTAGAGTGAGAGGAAAAGGAGGCTCCACTGTATCACACTGGGGGTTTTAGTGAAGCAGGAGGACCTGCAGCAAGCCTTATTTCAGCATTATCTGGATTAAGGCCTGTGGCCATTCTTTTTCTCATGTTATTCCCTGCCCTGTTCCCCTCTTGCCGTTTTGTTTGAGGTTGAAGCTTTTTTTAATTAACTATAAACCTGTAGAAGTGAACTGGAGAGATGAGACTTGGCTAAGATAATAGGTACAGAAAGAAGTTAGTTTGGAAAAAATGAAATGGAAGAGAAATGACAAAGCTACGTTGACTGCATGTTGTTGAGCAGCTCAGTAGTTGGTCTTGACAGCTGGCTGTGAATCAAATGAAATAAACAAAAATCTAGTAGTGTTACATTAATATAACTCTTTTAATTATATATGTCCTGAAATATAATTCTCTTTTAAGATTTGTCTTCAAATGATGCTTTATTTGTAAAGTTTTAGTTTTGATTCGGATCTGACATATATTCTGTCTTTTCATTGCTGACTTTATTAGCTCTGCTTGAATAATTTAGGTTTTTCTGTCAGGTTATTGTCCAATAGTTCTATAAAACATAAGAACAGAAATGATACCTAAGTAGACACAAGGCTCCTGTGGTAATCTGGCAGTGCTGTGGTTTCCTACAGCTTAATTTTCAGCATTTCTGTTGTGGGTAAGTGGTCATCTGCCAGGTAGTTGTTGTGCTTCTTGAAAAAGTTTCTTGAATGCAGGTTAATCAAGTCTATTGAAAACTTTAGTTGCAGTTTGTATCAATTTGCTCTTGTAGATTACCTTCCTAACTGAAAGCACTTTTGGCCATTATGTTTTTACTATATTATTAAATTCATAGAGGGGATCGATACAATAAAATGAAATGTGGAAAGTATTCAAAGTTTTCTCTGAAGTGTTGCTAAGCTTCCATCAAACTTCCGTATTAATTTTGCTGCCTCCAAATATCTTGGCCAAGAGAGTTTGGCACAGATTGTGAGTTTAAGCCTTTGACTCTCATTGCTGAACACTTTCCTGTACAAAGCACTCCATTATTTCAGTATGGTACCAAAATTTTTGTTGACTGTCAGAGTTTGAAGTAACATCACGGATTTAACCTGTCTTTTTTATTGCTGTTTGCATGTAAGTGTGCTTAAAACTATCATTTTTAAAGTAAATTTCAAAAGTTCACAGCTTACAACCTCAGCTGAATTTCATAATTAAATCAGTAGAATTTTGTAATAACATCATGGTGGATTCTTGGAAAGAAGTTTCCTTTTCACCTGGAACATAAAGTACATCAGAACCACCTTCCCCATGTGTCAACATGCTCTTTGACTCACAGTAAACCTATTATTTAAGCTGCTTAAGTTTTTTTTTGCTTTATATGGACTCCTTAGTTAAGGGAAAATGACATTAGTTGGCTTATTGAATTGTGGGTCAGGTTGGAGGAAGTTTATCTTTGCCTTAAGATGGCACTGGGAAGCTGATGGTTAGCTGCAGGCTCTCACCTCTTCAGTTAAAACTGAGGGGTTCGAAAGTTGACAGATGTATCCAAGGTCTTGGCATCTTTTTCCCAATGATAAATAATCCTTGGTGCTGATCTCCCTGCAAAATCAGAGATGTTCTGCTGCCTCTACCCTGGAGCAGAAGAGTCTCTTGACTATCCTTCTTCTTTCCTGGTCTCTATCTACTTCTTTCTACTTTGCTATTAAAAAATAAAGAAATCCTTCTTTTTAGATCTTCTTACATCAGTGTTTTTTCTTGTTTTCCTACTTTTTAATTCACAATTATGTAGGCCTGAAAGCTGACAGCACAGTCCCATAGTCTTCTTTACAGATGCTGATGAACATGTCCAACCACAGGGGAATAGCAGGGAGAATGTCACTATTGAGAAAAAAAAGTTGAATGTTGCCTTCAAACTGCTTATATGTAAATTCATACATTCAACAGAGATTTAAAAGCAGTCCATATCTTCCTACACAATACTGCCAATGAGAAAGAGCTTTATTGCTGGCATGCATATGTATGTGCATGCTAAAATCCTTACCAACATGAGTAAGCAGAACAGAGTTGTGACAGAAAATTATTTTGGTATGCTACAGTAAGCCATACTTTTAGTATCTCACACTCCAAGAGATGTTAGGCCGAGTTTTGCAGAGGTGTACAGACTGGTACCGAAGTGGAGATGCAATATATACAGTTAGAAAACTGCATTCCCTGAAGAGCTGTTATGCTCCATCTTCTGACTCACCTTTAATATCCATTGTCCTTGAATTTCCTTATCTTCAAAAGGTTTATCACATCAAGTTTGGGTTTTTTTGTTTTGGTTTTTTGGTTTTCTTCCTCACTGTGAGTGGTAAAACATTCACAGCTGACAAACCAAAACAAATTATATATATATATATATGATTAAATACATAAGTTCCAAGAGAAATCAATACAGTTTAGAAGGTTTATCCTTTTCATACCTATGTGTGTAAGGGACATATATCCATATCCACTGCTAACTGAAGAGGAGCTTTTTGACTGAAGGACAAAATATCTGACTCTCTTGTTTTTCTCCAGAAGTCTGTATAGCTCTTGCAAAAAACAAATCAACAAAGCAACCTGATTTCTAAGAAAAGCAGTGTTGTTTTGCAGCTAAAAAATATTCAAGCTGCCTTAACACTTTTCTTCAGTATTTTGAGTCAGTCTAGACTAGGAAAAAATGCTCTTCTTGTAAGGAAAAAGTGATAATTTGATGTCCTCTCTCTAGGATAACTTGCTGGGTTAACTTCCTGACACAGATTCACCTTGTCATAAACTTTAACATCCATTTAATGCAGAATGAATGTGTATGCCTTCCTTTAGAAAACAGATGCTTTCCATGAAGGAAAAGTTATTTTTCAGGGAAAACGAAGATGTTTTCTGATATAAGCACATGTGCCTCATGTGTGCAGCTAAATCATGTGCTTATGTTGTTTTGTGATCCAGAGACACTTATTAAAGATGTACTGAAGGACCTGGAGAAACATCAGGTGAACGTGGAGAATCTCAGCTCAACAGAACTGGATGAGATCGCCGACACTATCGCCACTGCAATTCAAAGTGTTGACATTCAGGCAGAAACACAAGATGGTGCTGGAAAAACTAAAGAAGACAAAACAGAAGCACAAACAAAGAAAGGAGATGCTCAAGGAAAGGCAGAATTTCAAATGGGATTAATGGAAAACAGTGTTAATATACCAGGTATTGATTATAAGGGTTAAGTACACCAAAAAAACAGATATCCCAGTTTTTCTCTATTGTTTCACATTAGTGTCAGACTTTTAAAAATCCGTTTTAAAGAAGTTAGGTGGGAAATTTCTGTATTTCCCCAAAAGGCTGCAGAATTTTAGCTTTGTTCTTTCCTCTTTGCTACAGGTTCCTTATTTACAAAAAAAAAAAAAAAAAAAAATCTGTTTGTGAAACCTTGGCCTTCAAGCTTCTCAAACAAGATAACCCTACACACTCAATTATATTGAAATACAAATTGCTTTATGCTGTTTGGTCTAATTTCCTATTCTTGAGAAAGAGGTGTTTAAGCAAAATGATAATGAAAATTATTATATTACAAGATGTATTTCAAAATACATGGAAAAAAACGTTTTACAGATTCTTTAATGTGCCACAATTACTTGCAGAAGAAAATCTGAGACAAGTAGAAGTACAAAACCACTCGTTCCCTTTCCTGCTTGGGGAATAAAAAGAGTTATTATGGTTATTTGCTTCTGTCTGCACACATATTTTCCTTGTGATGCAGATTCAGGAGCCACAGTAATTACCATTAATGAGGGGATACCACAGTGGGACTTGTTATCAGTCATCCATTCTCTATTTTAGGAATGTTAGAATATCTAGGACACCAGAAACATATACTATAAGTCATAAACAGTGATTTTTAACTTCCTGTCTTTTTTCATGGTGTTATACTGAAATCCTTACTAGTTAGGAATATTGTGACTATTTTAATTGCCAAATCTGTTTGTAGATTAGAAAAACCAAACTGAATCATGCTGAGAAAGAAGAATAGCACTCAGTTCATGAACCAAAAAGACAGCATTATTTGACTGAGGTTAAGGATGTGACTGAGTATCATCACAATAACTGAACTGTAATATAGTTTTGGTGAATGATGTTTATTGAAATAAGTCATCTTCTTCCACCAAAACATGTATGAGGGATGTATATGTTTCCTTTTTTTTTTTACTCTAAATATTAATTCAGCTAGACCCATTTCATAGGGTTTTTCCTTAGATATTGTTAAACTGATATGACAATTGGACACTTAATTAGCAAAATAACACTATTACTTAGGCTCTTGAAGTACTCTGTCTATTGATCTTGCATTAATTTGCTATCGAAGTGGAGTTAGAATAACAATAACAAATTATACAGTGCTCTTTACTGTGCCCTTTCAGCTTTGATGTCTTAATGTTTAAATTACATAAAAAGGCCACTGCTACAAAGCAGCCTATGAGAGTCTTTGTTTTGTACATCGTGTTTGCCCTTCATAACTATATATTGGTGTTTTTCAAATCCTACAGACAATGGAGCTCATGAAGCCCGTGCAAGAACTGAAAAAGAGGTAGAGTACCAATATTTTAACAAAACAAGTATTTCATCTCAGAATATCAGGTTTCTATAAAGTGAAGGTCAAAAACACAATTCTGAACTGTAAGACTTGTTCTAGTTTTCTGTGGCTATGATTCAATATCACAAATAGGCAAGTTGTTGTTCACGCATTGAAATATCAAATGAACATTGATTTAAATCTTAACCAAAATTAGTTTTGATGTTCAAAAAAGCAAAATCAAGTCCTTTTTTACTTTTCTTTAATTTGTAAATAGAGATAATTCACAACAGATTCCCAAAGTTCAGAAAAATTCAGGTTTTTCCTCAAGTTAATAAATTTTGAGTATTGAGGTGTTCTTGAAAACACTCTTCCCTGTCCTTTGACTCTTAGTTCTGGTGAATGTAAGCATCCTTGCTCAGATAATCTCACTGGTTTTCAGAAATTAATGAGTAAATATATTTCCTCTGAAGGTATGTGTTGGGATGGGGATTGGTTGTGTTTCAAAATTCCTGCTCCTTTCAAGGGATCTGCCATTTAGTTTTATGTGTTGCCATTAATTCATTGACTATCAGAGGTATTTCAAAAGCTCTGGGCATTACATCTCTTGCCCTAGCTATTAACGTCAAATTTAGCATTCAATCCAGATTACTTTTACAATATTCCTTATGAGTTTGGAATTGTATCCTATGTACCTCTGTCCAATATTCAGCCATTTTCGAGGTATATTCACCTCCCTTTTTCTGGGTTTCGTGGAGCAGAAAAATGTCAAAGGAATATTTCTAAAAACTCTGTGAAACTTCTTCTACTATATACTCTGTCAAAAGCTAATACTTGGAGGCCATAAATGGACCTGTGTTCACAGTAAAGGCTCTTCTGCCCTTCTACGAAGAAAGGAAAATACACACATGAACAATGTGGCAGGAGCTTTGACCACCCAGATGAAGCTCTTCAAGGAATGAAGTGCTGTATTTACAACAGACTTGCAGAGGGTCCCATGTATAGATTTCTTAGTGGAAGTTTGAATAGAGGACGTGATAGAACAGAATATATTGTGACACAGAGCACAAAGTGCCCATTAACCATGCTTGGCTGCAATATAGTTATGGAACAAAACTAGCTGAGGAATTGTTCCAGGCACGATTTGATTTCTGCTCCTTTGCTTATTGTTTTGATTTATTAGAGAGTTTTTTTTTTCCTGTGATCATATGTTTAGCTTATTGGATCACTCGCATATAGTTTGTCACCATTTCTAGAGATGAATAAGAAAAATAGAATTGGTCATATAATATCTGTTCCCTTTCCTGTGTTATAACTGGTGAGACCCAAGAAGTATTCATGTTTTCAGGCCCAACACATAGACATGTTGGTGGATATTTATATTCTTTCTCCTTTTCATTAACTTAGTTGATAATAAAGTTTTATTTTCCACAAAGACACATGAAAACTGCTGGAAAAATTTGGTGGCATAGTTTTAATGCTCTTTTATTATTACCGAATGAACATTATGTTCTTAACATAGTCTGGCATCTTAGAGAAATTAAGAAAATGACCATACAAGAGTTGTTTGAGTAGACTCTGACATATCAATTAGAATTTGAAAGATTTAATCTAGTTTTGGTTCAGTATATAATTCCTGTGCTTAATTTTAAAAATAACACTATTCTTTTGATATAGGAGAACACTGCAAAACTAATTAAATTCTTGAATGAGAATGCTTTACCTGAAAATACACCCAAAGACCTTGGCCCTGAAGAATCTACTAAGATAGAAACCAAGAAATCTGAAGAAACTGACTCTTCAGAAGAAATAAATGCTGGTGTGGAAAATGTAAAAAGTGAGACTTTCTCAAGGGAGCTGACAACTGCAGAGAATAGTGAATCTGACTCCAAAGAGCCGAGTAAGACCAGCTACTGGATTAAGAATTCTTTAATGCAGGATGGAAACTCCTATGAAAAGCCTCAGAAAAACACGGGACAAGGCTTACAACTTGAAGTGAAGTCTTCTGAGGAGAAAGAATACGGCTACATTGTGACAGTGAAAGAGTAAGTATAGCAGCCCATTTGAATGGCACTGTTAACTGCAGAAAAGATGAAGTCATTGCACCTAATGAAATATGAATGTGCAAGAGGAAAATGCCACAGGCCTGATTTTTAGTACCTCTGAAACTGTTTGGAACCTGTTCAATACTTTGATGAAAATACAAGAAAACGGTTCCGTTTTCTTACAGTTGCCTTTCCTCCCTTGCGGATGACTGTAGGTCTTTTGCTTAGACCTCTCTCTATCTTCTCATGTTCCAGTGACCTTCCAATATGTCAGTAAGTGTGCTTATGGTTAGGATGCAGGCTTTAAATATTTGACTTGAAAGTAGTCTAAATATCAATGCCTGAGTCATTCTTTCAAAGAATGACACACACACAATAATAAAGCACAATATTTTCTCTCTGGTTTCATTTTGATCTGAAAATAACACATATAGGATTCTGAACATCACATATGCAGCTAGTTTAGAAAGAAAGACCTAATGATTTCAGGTCATGCCAGTAATGAATTTGACATTTAATACTATACTTTCAAAAGACAACTTTATCCCCCTAGTGATACACAGTTCATTACAGGAACATTTGGGATTTTAGAATGTTGTAGGCACTTTCACATCCGTTTTTTCCCCTATAAGAGCAATGCTATATTTGCTCAGTGATCATGACTCATCTTCTGTGAGAAATTAAGATTTTCTAGGATGAGCTTACAAATCACTGCCCAGCATCACAGAGAAACTGAGACAGGAAATTCTTCAGCATGGACTGATTCTTTTGACTGCCTCAAACTTCATAATGGGATTGAAGGCAATAGGACTGTGGAGGATTTGAGATTTTACTATACTGTGTTGCTTTGAAATGCGTGTGACTGCATATCAGAAACAGACTAGAAATTGATGGAATACCACAGTTTAACTGCATCTCATGGATCCTGCCTATGAATGTTACGTGAAGCAGTAGAAGCCAGTTTTTCCCCAGCTCAGCCTTACTTCCCCCAGCTCTTTTAACTCACATCAATCTGGAAGGCTCCTTTATACCCAAGAGTACCTTAATGACACCATCTCCTTTGACCATCCAGACTTTATTTGACTCATAAATTCTGTAAAGCTTAGAGCTTTCAGAGCTCTCTGCAATGGGAAATGTTCTGAATTTCAGTGTTCACAACCTGGAGATTCTTCACTGTGTCATCTTATCTGGTTTTCTTCCTGCTAGTTTCCCACTGATGGGTTTTCCCTGAATTATGTCTGCTATTATTCAGTGAAACTTGCTGAAGAAGATCATTTGTCCAAGTGTTCTTGGTTCTAGAGGACTCCCTATAAGCAAATATAATTTAGCATAGTTTTATTCAACCTCTTTACCATTTTCAGTAGGAGAAATACAAAAAGTACTTTTTTATATACTAGATTATTATCATTTTAGTAACTTTTGGACAAGATGCTTTTAGATAGCTAAAGTGAAAGAAGTTTGTCCTTGACTGGGTACTGGGGGGAAACACAGTTCAAAGGATGAGCAGAAGGCTGAGGTACTTAATGCCTTCTTTGCCTCAACCTTTAGTAGTAAGACCAGTTGTTCTTCAGGTACCCAACCCCCGGAAGGCAGGAATGGGGAACAGAATGGAGCCTCCATAATCCAGGAAGAAACAGTTAGCAATCTGATAGACCACTTAGACACACATAATCCTCCATGGCTGGATGGGATTCACCCAAGGGTTCCAAAGGATCTTACCGAGACACTTTCCATCATTTACCAGCAGTCCTGGCTAACTAGGGAGGTCCCAGTTGATTGGAAGTCAGCAAATGTAAATCCCATGTACAAGAAGGGTTGGAAGGAAATCTGGGGAACTACTGGCTTGTGTCAAGGAAGGTCACGGAGCAGATCATCTTTAGTGCCATAATGTGACACGTAAAGACAACTGGGGGGCAGGGCCCAGCCATCGTGGGTTTGTGAAAGTCAGGTCCTGCCTGACAAACCTGATCTCCTTCTGACAGTGTGGATGCAGTTACATCCAGTTGGTGGTAGGTCACAAATGTGTTCCCCAGGGCTTAGTACTGAGTATTTAATATCTTTATTGATGATCTGAATGAGGAGATCAAATGTACCCTCTGTCAGTTTTCAGGTGACACCAAGTTGAGAGAGAGTATTGATGTTCTGGAGGGCAGGAAGGCTCTGCAGAGGGATCAAGAGGCGAAATGGCCTCAATTTGTCCCAGGGTATGTTTAAATTGCATATTAGGAAAAACTTCTCTGCTGAAAGGTTTGACTAGCATTGGAACAGGCTGCCCACCATCCCTGAAAGTATTTAAATGATGTCACTTAGGGACATGGTTTAGTGGTGGACTTGGCAGTGTGGGGTTCATGGCTGGACTCAATGATGCTAGAGGTCTTTTCCAACCTAAAGTTGATTCTGCTTGGTGGTGTGGTTGACATTTCAGGAGCAGTCCATTCACTATTAGCTTTTGAGGCTTTGCAAGTGCAATCCAGAGGAGATATTAAGACTGCTTCAGTGAATTCCATGAACCGCTAAGATACCAGCATTTAATTGTGCCACAAACCAGAGATAAACATTTCCATCTAATAGCTGAAGAAAAGATCTGTGATACTTTAAAGACTTGTCAAAATGGCAGTCTGATTGTCAATGGCAAGAACAATAGGTCACTCCTGCTGTGTTTGTCAAGTGACCTTTCGGATGGTTGGAGCAGTGCAATCCATACCAATCCATAATATCCATCACTGCTAAGGTTTGGAATGAATTGACAGTTTCAGTGTAGAAAATTGTCCAGCAAATCCTCCACTGTGCTGCTTCAGCACTTTATTATGCTGAGAAACCAATCAAATTGGTGATTTACTTTCTTTACTTTTTTTCTCCTTCAAAAAATTGCAATTCTACCACTGTAGGATTTGCATGATAAAGATTTTTTCTTTCTCAGTGTAACTACTTTGAACTGTTTTACTAATTTTAACTCTGAAATTCTAAAGTAATCTTATTTTTTAAAAAAAGTTATCTAGGGCTTGTTATTTTCATTCGTATTGAACTGCAAGCATAGGCATAAAATACCTCTCTGTTAAAGCGGGGATACCATCACTGTGAACTCTCAAATAAGAGGAATCTTTGCCTTTGGACAAAAGAGCTCTTCCTCTTTTCTGATATTCGAGTTCTTCAAGTTTGGAAAACTTTCTTTTTTGTGTTCAAAAAAATGTAAGTGCTCCCATTTGTTTGGCAGTTTGTGCTCTAAAATTAGGGCCCAGATCCCACAGTCAAAACATTTACACAGTGTTCAGTCTCCTGAGTGTCTCATGAGGAAAACCAAAGCTTGATTTTCCAGAACATGTAGTTCTTACCACCTCCAGGAAAACTAAATGTAAGCTGCTGCATGCTCAGCAGTTTAAATAGCCAAGCTGGCATGCAGTTTCTCAAATATGAGATTGAGTAGCTAGACTTAAATACACTAAGAAAAATCCTAATTTGAAAGTTCTTCTCTTTTTACTACTTATTACAGTCTTTCAAGCTTCAAAATCAAGTCATGTTTGTCTGATACCATGCTTGGACATCTAATGCAGAGGACCTTGTCCTGTTTAGTGATTTATCAGAATGCATGTGCTTGCAGTTTTTCATATAAATACTGGATCACAGACTAGATCACAGACAGCTCATGGTAGCTCTCTTGGCTTCTGAGCCAACTTCTGGCATTGTTATATTAGGCATTTCTTGGATATTTCATGTTCTGTCATATGTTGACTCTCAGTTCCAGACTGTCTATGTAAAATTATATAGGCTGTAAATCCGTTCACAGCTTGTTAACTGAATTGGATCCTGCATGGATGTCAGTGAGTTTTGTTTGAGGTAGCTGGTGTTCTGCTCAGGTGCTGTGAAAGAGCTGAAAACGGATCTTGTGTTTATAGTATGAAATGGCTATGGAACATGATTAGTCCGACCCATTTAGCGTGCTGAAGGGTTAGGTTAATTCCAAATGCTTGATATTGCTTCTTCACCTTTAAAAATGTGATAAATGATGCCGCTTTGCATATAATGATTGCTTTCCTCGGGATGGTGTTCAGGTTAGGACCCTGAATCTGGGTTGTACAGAACTCTTGGTTTATTCCCCAAGTTTTCTGTTTGCCAGGCAGGTCATTAAAGAATGGTATTTTTATGATATCTTCATTATTTGTTTCCCCTACCAGGTGGAAACATTTTAATTGCATTTAAAAATTGAATTTAAAATAAATAGGAAAAATGAAAGATCTACAGCAACGAAATAGGTCTGATATGTTTATTGTTATTAGTTACTGGAAGGTCTTGATGTTTCTTAGAAGCTGAGCTTTTGTATTCCTTAAGGCTTTTCATCAGTTTTTAGAAAATAATAACAGAATGTTCTTGTCCTTTAATACATAAATACAAAGAGATTTGACCTTCTCTGTATATCTCAGTGTCCTTTTTGAAGCTGTTATTCTACCTGCAAGTGTACTTTGTCAAGGGAAAGAAATTTGTGCATATTCTTCAATTAACTTTTGCAACTAGCTTTAAAAACTAAAAGAAATTATTAACATACTTAAAAGAGAAAATCTGTTGATTCAGAAGTCTGTTAAAATCACCAAGGAACAACACCATTGAGATTAAAAAAGAAGTTAAATGTAAAATTTTTATCTCACACTTTGTCCCTTTCCTTAGAAGACTCTTCCCTTGTATAAATAGTTTCTATAAATGTCCATAATTGATTTTAAAGCCCGGGGTTTTCCTTCTGACAACACAACTTGACCCCCTATCTGAATAATACACATGGAAAATCCTTGCCTATGAAATTATCTAATAGAAACAATTTGGTCACTGTGTCTCAGCACTAGAACTAGTAGAGACATAGTTCTAGAATCTTTCATTGCTAACTCTTCACACATAATTGTTCATGATCCCTAGAGTTTTCTAGACATAAAATCTTTTTTCCATCTATAATTCTCCAGTTTTCTTGTGGTGCTTAGAAAGTGACAGAGATCATGTCCTCCACTTTACTTCTT